GTATGCTAGTTGTGGAGCTCCTGGAGAGAGTACCAAGCTAAGGGGCAGTCCATGGCTGTTGTCCATGCGTGTAAGTTATAGTAATCAGGGTTTAGGGTATGATAAGTGACTCTGAAATTCACCACTGATACCGATTGGATAAATCTGCTGCTCTCAGGTCTGAGCTTAGCTGAATCCACGGCTGGCCTCCGGTCGCTCATCGCGAGGTGCATACTCGTATCGGACTATAAGGACCTACGGAGGGCCAAGGAGGTGGCGACCCTTCTGAGTCTTCTGAGCTCGACTCCTGATAGTGAACACTTTCAAGCGGCGAAGCTACATTTGGTGAGAGTAGCTCTAAGGGCCACCACTGGACATCGCCGTGATGCCAGTTACAGTCTCCTGTATTACAAGGGCAAGGTGAAGGCTTATCGGCAAGCGAAGTGGCCCTGTTGGCCCGCTCTCTGGCCGGCATCGGCCAGGCCGATGGGACCGCAGTCGAACTAGAAAGTATTCGGCAGGTGATCCGTCCTGCATAGGAGCTGGTCTTCAGGCGTTGTCTGGAGGCTCGGCATGAGGGTCTTCGGAACGACTCTGAAGGGACTACCTGCTCCTAGCGTTATAGCGTTCATGAGGGCAGGTGGGTAGGCTGGTAGGAGGTATACGGCGAGCATTGATCGCATTCTTTTAGTCACATGGTGTACCGAGGAGGGTAACCTCAGCGATGATGCTGTGCAGTTCTTCGACAACCTAGGCCCCTATCTCCTAGAGAGGCAGTATCCACCCGATGCGCCTCCAGGCAGCAGTGACCTGATCACAGTAGCTGCTGGTCTTGCTAGGATGGGCCATAAGGATGTACATAGGGTCTTCGTGTTAGTACCATGGGAGAGCTTCTGAGTTTGGCAATAGAAGTTTTGGGGTTGTACTGAGTGCCTCTAGGTGCCCTTACTGGTTATAGTATCCTCCCTACTCCGACCGTATGTCCGACGATTAACAGCAGTCCAGTGCATAGCGTTGATATCATCGTATTCGAGGCTAGACCAAAGGGAGGTGAGGTGCCTCTGTCGTTACTGCTTATCTTTTCCCAGGCGGACTTCCTAACCTTGGTCTCGCATAGACTAATGATGTGCGACGCCCAAGGGGACACCACGCCGGGAGTGTTCGAGCTCACCTCCAGTATAGAGAGTGTGCGGAGGCGACGGCAGCGGCATGGTAGGTCGGCGGTCACCTTGGTAGTGGGGGCTTCAAGCGTGTGAGCAGAGGCTCTGCCAAGGCCTAGCAGTGGCGAAGGAGTGACCATGGACCAGCTATGTATCGCTGTGTCCTCTCTGGGGGCGATGGACGTCGTCAGCCCCGATTTCGCGTAA